CGCTACATTGAAGTAAAACTCATTCAAATATCATATCCTTCTGGCAGGTAGCAAGGTGCCGGTTTGTAGGGAAGGATTCTTTAGACTCTACGATGTAGTTGCAAGCGTATCCGTCGCATTAGAAAACTTCTCTTGGCTGTAAAAACGCCACAATATTTACGAGGAAAAAACAGAAGTGGTAATAAAATATGTGAAAGTGAAACTACCAAGGTACACAATCATATTAGTTCCTTTCCAACAAAAGAAGGGCATTAATGATGTTTTGTACCTACGTGAATGTTTTTCAATTCAAAAAATGCATGAACTATTCTTTGAAACGTATCCTGAAAGTAATATTAAGTAATTTTTAGCATAAGTACTTTAATGAAAACTTTAATTTTAGATTTGGCCGGCCGCCTAGTGATACATGTAACGTTTGTGAGTGTAAAAAATAAACGTATCAAAAACCTTAGACTTAATGAAACTGCAAAAAAGGTTTCTGCAGCAGAACTAATGATGCACAAACGTCGAGCCAAACGATTTGATTCTTCTTCTTCTTATGGTGCCTATCCGTTACGGATGTTGGACACTAACATGGCTATTCTGCCTTTGTTCACTGCTGCCCTGAAAAGTCCGGTAGTGCTAAGTTAAACCAGTTTCGCAGGTTATGCTGCCAGGATATTCTTCTCCGTCCTGGACCTCTTTTCTTATGCACTTTACCTTGAAGTATGGTCCGAAGTAGGTCATATCGTTCTTCATTGCGCATTATATAGCCCAGGTATTCTAGTTTGCGACGTTTTATGGTTACGACTAGTTCGCGCTCTTTACCCATTCTATGTAGTACTTCTTCGTTGGTAACTCTGTCTATCCAGGAAATCCTCAACATGTGTCTATATCACCACATCTCAAATGCTTCGAGTCTCTTTAGTGATGCTTCAGTAAAGGTCCATGTCTCCACGCCATACAAAAGAACGGAAAATACGTAGCATTTTAGTAAACGTACTTTTATTTCCAATTTTATGTCGTGGCTAAGATTTTTTTCATTTTGACGAAAGCTGATCTTGCCTTCTCGATCCTTATCTTAATTTCCGTCGATTGGTCCCACTGTTTTATTTAAGTTTGCACCCAGATAACAAAAGTTGGTGATTTGTGTTATAGGTTGTCGGTTAACTAGTAATTGACCAGGTGGTATCCTATTTTTCCTTATAACCATGTATTTGGTTTTTTGATGTTAAAATTAAGCCCAAACCTGCTACTTACTCTTGCCACCCTGGAGACAAGTGTCTGCAGAACTTCAAGACTGTCTGCAAAAATGACAGTATCACCAGCGTATCTTATGTTGTTCAATCGTTCTCCGTTTATAAGTATTCCCTCGTCTATGTCCGTTAGCGCTAGGTTCATAATGTGTTCTGAATATGTATTGAACAATAATAGGGACTATATACATACCTGTCGTATACCTCATTTTATCTTTATATTGTCTGTTAACTGATCCCCAACTCTAACAGCTGCAGTCTCTTCGTAATAGTTTATTATATGGCGATCTCTGCTGTCTAGACCAACTGAATTTAATATTTTCATCAGTTCGTCATGTTTTATTCTATCGAATGCTTTCTCGTAATCAACAAAGCACATATATATCACAATTCACGTCTCTTCATCTTTGAAAGAGAACTTGTATTGCAAAAAGTGCCTCTCGAGCACCCAATGTATCCCTGAAGCCGAATTGTGTGTTTGTTCTTCACACTTTTTATATATTCTTTTTTCTATAATTTTTAAAAAAGTTTTCAGGAGATGGCTCATAAGGCTTATTATTCGATAATCTTTACATTTTTTTGGCATTAGGTTTTTTAGGGATTGTTAAAAGTTGATCTTAGCAACTGTTGGGGTATTTTTCCACTTTGGTATATATTGTTGAATATCAAGGTAAGTCTTTTTACTTCGTCTTTATCCATAATTTTCAAAAGTTCTGAGTAGAACTTGTCTGGTCCTGCGGTTTTTCCCTCCTTAATGTTGTTTATAGCAGCTTCTACTTCCGCTTCGAGCATAGGTGGTCCGGTATCGTCATTTAAGAATTATCATAACAAAATGCTGACATTTTGTGTTTGGTTTTTGATTTTATGCAAAATGTAGATTTATGATGATAATAGACGAACATGAAATTCGAACAACCTGGTGTAATTATACAAGTGAACTGTATAATGATGATAGACCCGAAAAACTGGAGACTTTTGTTAAAGGTGAAGGACCAGAAATAATAAAATCAGAAATACTGCATGCTATAAAGTTAGCAAAGAACAAGAAAGCCGTTGGCCCTGATAACAAACCGACAGAGATGTTAAAGCTTATAAATCAGGAGAACATTGGAATACTAGTCAAGCTTTTCAATGATGTTTATTCGACTGGTGATATCCCTGAAGATTGGTTATAAGTCCAAATTCATAACACTATCAAAAAAACAACGTCCGAAAAACTGTAGCGATTATAGAATGATAAGCCTTATGAGCCACACTTTGAAAATATTTCTACGCATCATCCACAGTAGAATCAGAGATAAATGTGAAGAAGACCAGGATGAAACACAATTTGGCTTCAGAAATGGACTGAGAACTCGGGACTTTGCACTAAATGTATTACTGCAGAAATGTCGAGATCAAAGGAAAGACGTCTTTGCTGTATTTATTGACTATGAAAAGGCCTTTGATCGAGTACAGCATCACAAATTAATTACAATATTAAAAGATAAAGGAGTTGATAGTCAAGACATACGATTTATAGAAAAGTTATACTGGCGTCAAACAGCGACAGCTTGCATAAACGAAAAATCAACAGAAATATGTAAAATACAAAAAGGTGTCAGACAGGGTTGTATACTATCCCCACTGTTATTTAATTTATGTTCAGATAAAATATTTAAAGAAGCGCTACATAATTTGGAATGGGGCGTGAAAATTAATGGAATTCTGATAAATACAATCAGATATGCAGACGATACAGTTATTTTAAGTGATGATATAAAGGGACTACAATACCTTTTAAATGCCATTGATATAGTGGGAAGAGAGTTTGGCCTAAACCTAAACTGTTCAAAAACAAAACACATGGTGTTTAGCCGTTTAGCACATCAAGATGCACGATTATATGATGATGGTCATATAATTCAAAGAGTGTCCAGTTTTAATTAATTTGGTTGCCATATTACTGAACAACTAGATCCAGATCAAGAGATAAAATGTAGAATAGAGATAGCCCGCACGACATTTTTAAAAATGAGGTCATTTTTCTGTAATGATAACTTGCAACTTCAACTTCGAAAGCGCATGGTTAAATGCTACATTTGGTCAGTCCTCTTATACCGTATCGAAGCATGGACATTAAAAATATCCACCATTAATCGTCTGGAGGGCTTTGAAATGTGGCTGCACAGACGTATACTAAAAATTCCATGGACGGCTATGCTGACAAATGTGGCAGTCCTTGAGAGAGCAAATGTTGCTCGCGAGCTGCTTAATAACATCAAATGTGGAAAGATGGCCTATTTTGGACACGTAGTAAGAGGAGACCGATATAATATTCTTCAAGTTATTATGATGGGTAAAATCGAAGGGCGCAGAGGAATTGGTAGAAAGCAGGCCTCTTGGTTGAAGAATATCAGGGAATGGACAGGAATAAGGAAAGCTGAGCAACTCTTTACAATAGCTCGAGACAGAGACAGTTTCGCCATTTCAATCACCAACGTCAAGGGGACTTGATAGGGCACGTTAAGAAAAAAAAAGATTTATCAAAAGTTCCAGTGCAAGAGATGTACTGCCTTCGACAGTTAACTGTGAACAATTTTTGTGTTTACAATTTAAAAACTGAATGCTCAGTTTTACTTATATTGCAAAGTGATATATGATGTAGCTTCTCTACTTGTAGACTACATTGAAAAAAATGTTCCAGAATCAGTAACTGAACTTTATTTATTGTCTGACAATTGTCAGGGTCAGAATAAAAATTATACTTTGATTTCTTAACTCTTACTATCAACGGCCGATTCAAAATAAGTAAACCTTTCTTCTCTCTTAGAGGGCATTCATTCTTGCCCTGTGATAGGAAATTTAACATCATAAAACGCTTTATTAGACGTTGCAACCGAATATATACGATTTATCAGCTGTGTGAATTGATTTGCTCTGCTAGCCGCAAATCTAAAAATACTGTCAAACTCATTGACACAGGAAATATAATCGATTTTGATAATAATTGGTGGCCTTACGTATACAAGAAGAGAGTCTGTTAAACTGAGAGTGCTGCTCTCATGGAGAGAGCGAGAATATTCCAATACGTTAAAGTATCATTACTTTGAATATTTTTTTGACAACAAGTGTAATATTAAAACATCGAAGTTTATTCATGCACTCAATGCTGATGATAATGTTGCTTACTACTATAGTAATTTCAATGTTAGTAAAGTTTACCCACAAACCATTTAGTTTCCTATAGCACCAGCTGATACTTCTCGAATGCTACCTTTAAATGAAAAAAATTAAGGACCTTAAGAAAGCTGTAAAGGACCTTCCTTATGAATTTGAAGATTTCTATGTAGATATAATGAATTTTTCAGTGTACAATCATTAGAATATAAGTGTTGATAGTAACTTGCAGCAATGTTTAGTGTTTTAGCAATATATGCTCTAAAGTGTTATAATGTGTTATAATGCGGGACATCAAAATATTTTTTTAATGAAGTGAGTCTGTAATTTTATTGCAGAAAGGTACCTAAGTACATGAAAAAAACACAAATTAATAAATTTTTTATAAATAAACAATATTATTAAATTGGAAATTATTAGTTCTAATCTACTTGTGACGTGACAAGAAAAAATTATCATGGCACAAAACTAAGATTTTTCATATCCAGACAGTTTTTTTACATATTTCTCGAAAGTTAAATGACTCGAGTCCCTTTCTGAAATAAGCTGTTCAAATAAAATTTTTACTTGACACCACAATAAGTTTCCCGACGTATTGATGCTTACCCCATTTGGAGGAATTAGGGTCGTCCACGTACATATCACGATGCGCTCGGCCCGGCGCCACTTCTCTGGCATTCATCGTCCACACCTCTCCTGTTGTTTTATTAAACGTTGTCAACAGAAATCCTCCTCCAAGACCCATGCTTTGTGGCATCGAAACCCCTTCGCAAAATAGCGCTGCGATCGCTGCATCGATGGCGTTGCCGCCTTGTTGAAGAATTGATCTACAAATCAAAATTAAATTAAATTTTTATATATTTTTAAACATCATTTACAGTTCGGAATTTTAAATTCTTAATTATATATAAAAAATAATTCAAGTTAATTTTAACTAAAAGAAAATGGCGACACTGAAAGAATATTTAAGACTGGAGGACAAGAACTCACCAAGATTTGACATGTTGATAAAATATACAAGGAATTTAAAGAATTTACCAGATGAATGAAATTAGTAAAAATGGCAAAATAGGTAATTAAAGTGAATGCCAAAACTGTACAGAAACCACTGTACTTGGTATGACCTACAAGATACTAACTCTTATAATATGAAACATGCTACCACGCAGAAAAATGAAATTCTTGGTGAACATCAAGCAGATTTCTGCTTGGGTGGCTAAGTACCTCAGTAACTGCCAGTGCCGGGCCCAAGCCCAGATAAAAGGGAGTTGGACAACAAGCTACCTATCTCCGGTAAAAAAAATTACTAGAAAACCCTTAAACAAGCCTTGTAATGGGCAGAGATTTCTCTTTTGGGGCTTGGAACATTAGAATAGATAGGGAGCGTTAAGTCCCCTCCCTAGTGAATTGAAAAGAAACAAGATAGGTTTGGCAGCAACTTAGGAAGCAAATGGCTAGTGAAGGGTATCCGGGACACAAAACACACACCATCTTGTCAAGTAGTTTAGATAAAGGAAATTAGGAATTTATGGTGGAATTTATAGTCGAAAATAAAATGAAACACTTCATAACAAATTTTCAAGCAGTAGATGAACAAATTTACAGGATATAAATAAAAACTCACATCTTCAACCTATCCATAGTAAACGTTAACTACCTAACGAATTACCTAAAATGATCATCAGTTGGACTTTATTTACTCACAAAAACAGTCACAAAGGCACCTCGATATCCCCTGAAGAAGATGTTAAACCAAATAGACCCCGAAAGAAAAATAATCAGCTACAAGCATGTATGTATGTACCTATGTACAGCGTTAACAGTTCCTTTAAGCCCATTGCTGGATGGATAATATCCATCGTTTTCTGTTCTTAGCTAATGGCTGCCAATCTCTGATTCCCATCTCTTTGATATCATCTATCACTACATCTCTCTTTTATTATTATTTATTACCTTGCATTTTTCTAAATATCCGATGCATTCTAGTCTATGTTTTTTCACAACTTTTGTTATTATAGGGTTAACATACAAACGGTACACTGCATTAGTTCGTCTTTACCATTCTTCCTCTACTACTTTTTCACCAAACAAGGATCTTTCTTTCCCATGCTTTCAATCAGTTCTGTGTGGTTTTATTCATAGTCCATGTCTCGGCAGCGTATAGCATTGTAGGTCTAATTATTGTTTTCTATACTACTACTAAGAGAATTAAACAAGAAAGGAAATTCTAGATCTGGGAAAACTGAAAAGAGCCGAAACTCAGAAGAAATAAAGAAGCTAACTGAATAAGACGAAAATGAAGAGTCATCATCATCATCAGTTAACCACATTAACTGATGATGATGATGTGTAATTCGGCAATTAAATAACGAAATGAAGCACATAGAATACATGTGACTAGAAAAACTAAAGAAATAAAAATGACATTTGAAAACAAAAGACGAATAGCTGAGAAACTGAGTAGACAATTAAAGAGAAAACACATAAACAAAAAATTAATGTAGATGAAAATAAATTTTAGAGAAGGCAAAACGCGAAATGCGCATAAAGACTATAGCGGGATAAGATGGTAAAATCTGCACTTGGCTGTATTTTTATTTGGGGTTATGCACTTAAAAGTACGTAATTGGAAAACACCTTAACCAAATTTGTAGCTCTCTAGATGGCTCCCGGAGTCTCCCATCCCAAAAGATGTGTTTTTTCAAAAAAAAAAAATTTATAAATGATCCTTTACTTTAAAAAATCTGGAAAAGTTCATATTCATTTTAATATTCAAAATCCCTGTTATTTTTCTTAGATTTTTTGGATCAAATGTAAGCGCAGTTAAAATATTTAAATTTTTGAAAAAAGTTTTAGGTTACGTAGTTAATTTTAGACAAACTTCTAAATAATTATTTTTTGTGTATTTTTGTTTAAAAATATATTTTTTTAAACAACATCAAAAAAATACAAACAAAAAAACATTTTTTGCAATAGCGGACCCCAGGAGCCACATAGGATGCTAAAAATTTGGCTAAAGGGTTCTCTACATATGTATTGTTACTGCCTAACCCCAAATAAAAATCAAGTCGAGTGCAAATTTTAAAATCTTATCCCGCTATAACTAAATCAAACAAATAAACAGGGGTATAAACCAAAAACTGTGCAGGAATATAAACGGCGAAATAACTAGTAATACTGAAAAAATTAAAGAAACTTAAACATATTTTGAAACTGCTGATCGCAAAACTCTCACAATGACGATGTAAAACACACAGAACATAAGCTGTTGAAAAAAGCAGGAAATAAAGAAAATAAGATAACAAAACCGCCAATGATAGAAGAGCTTGAAACTAAAAATAGCAGCTCCTGGATGTGATGGAATACCCGCAAGTTAAGAGGAAGTAAAATAACAAAACGGACATATGAGGTTATACACAAAATATAGAGACAAGAGAAAATGAGAAAATGTCAAAAGAGTGATATAAGAGTATCATTTGCCCAATCCATACAAAGGGCGTTAAACTGCTCTGTCAAAACTATGGAAAATCGCCTTGCTGTAATAAAATATTTACCAGTATACTTAACTCCAAGTTAAGCTGATCTTAAGCAAATTCTGGAAATATGGCATTGATATTTATAATATTTTCGTCGACTTTGAACAGGCATCACACTCAATAAGCAGGGCACACTTAGGTATATAAAATATTAAGTAAATTTAAAGTAGCGTCCCAACTATATGGGTTATCCGAATAACAATGAAGGACACAGTGGCTCAGATACAGATACAATATGAAATGACAGACCCATTTCAAATAACACAAGGATTAATGGATAATAGTCGAGATAGATTCGACAAACTTAAAAAACAAAAAAAAAAGAACTTGATGTGTGATTTGATACTAAAAATAAAATTTGCATCTTACAACCACTTTCAAAAGCTTGTACATGGGTGATCAAATTATTAGAGCCACCTAATAAAATTCACTTTTTTACAAAAAGGGTATATAATTAAGCTGTATATGCGTTTGTTTCCATTTGATTATCTTGTAACCCTTAATTAAAGTACAATAAATAGTCTGGTAGTAGTAGCAATAACGGGCGTGACAATACGTCTTGATGTTTATAGTTAAAAATAAATAATTTCCATTGCTCTATTGTGATATTCTGACAGTCGTATACTATTTTTGTGATTTTAGCAGACATTGCGTAACACCAGTAGTACCAGAACATCATGGGAAAAGCCAAAGACATCCTACCAAGAAAAAAAATAAAAAAAATAATAAAAATAACCACTTCAACAGAAATAAAATATATCGTTCTAAAGTTTTATTTGCAACTATTTAATGTATGAAGAAAAAACTAGACGAAAATTTGGATTTGACCCTTTGGCGCAAACAAAAATGTGATCGAAAAAACTTTACGAGGTTAAAGAAAAATTCGAAAAATTTTGGCAAACAGAAAACAACCTTGAAGGATTTTAAAGAAAATGATGAAGAAGTCTTACATCAATATTTTAATGATGACAGCTCGTCGACGAATAAAGGATCTGGGGTTTTTAAACTGTCGCCCTGCAAAAAAGCCGCTACTCATACCAGCCATGAAGAAAAAACTCTTCAATGGTCTAAAGTTTATAAAGAATGGACCATTGATGATTGGAATCAGGTAAATAACATTACTTAAAAATGTTTTTCTTTTATTTAAAAAGGTTTTGTTTTATGTAGTTGTTAACTGTTGATTAATTTCTCCATGATTCTAAAATAATAATAATATTCCACTTTTGTTTCTTGGACGAATCTACCGTGCAGATCCTCATGGATAGAGCTGAATTTGTGTGGAGAAGACCTGGGGAAAATAACGGAGCGGAATATATTGCAAGGACGGTAAAGCATGCACCCCTGTGCATCATGGTGTGGTGTATCATAAGCAATTAAGGAACTAGTAGACTCTTCATTGTCGAAGCAACAATGCGGTAGGACCAGTACCTATCACTACAGCAAACAAAAACGATTCCTAAAGTCCAGGAGTGGTTCCCTGGACCAGAAGAGTTTTAAGTTTATGTAAGGCAAAAACTTTATGTAATACAAAATTCCTTGCTGACAACCAGATAAAGGTGCTCGACTCGCTTGGAATTCGCCAGATCTAAATCCAATAAAAAATCTTTGAAAGCTCTTGAAGAAAGACATTTCTAATAACCAAAAAGCGTTAATTGATCAGGCGCTTAATAGCAGTATGGCACAGGAGTGGAACAATTCAACAAAATTTCCAGAAATGCATAGAAAGTATGCCAAGAAGGTGTCAGGTCGTCATTGCTGGAAAGGGTGACACTACAAATTATTAGGCTTAAGGAATAATTTTAAGTATTTTCATGTAATTACTCGTTTCTTTTTTATTATTTTTAAACTTTACAAGGTTCTAAATTATAGTAAAACAGAATTAATAACAAAATAATGTTTTATAGCTCAATTAAATATCATTATTAAAGAAATAGTCAAATTTTATGGGTGGTTCTAATAATTTGATCACTCACTATATATGAATGGTGTAAAAATTAATTATCGGCGCCAGTATTTGTCGGGTACCAAAGCTTGTTTGTTTACATTTTGACACTGTCTGATTCGAGAGATCACATAATGTAGATAAAAGCAAAGATATGATAAAGTGCTATTTAGCCTGTTATAGGTCTAAGTAAATTGTATTGAAACAATAATAAATATTTATATTAACTAAATAATTTGTAATAAAAAAACTTAATCGAAACTTACGCTCCTATTTCTGAACATCCATAACCATTTGTAACCACAGCTCCTTTTCTAACTTTTTCCCCAATTCCTGAATGGAGCATTGTTAATAATACTACTATCACGGTATTTGTCCTACAAATCTTCATGTTGAGATGCTGTAATAAAAATAATTCAATGAATTAATCTTAATATAATTATAAGAGCAGCAGTTTGCAGTGATAACTATAGTATTAAAGATTATAGAGAAAGATGTTAAAAAAATCCGGTCCTGAATGTAAGGATAAAAGTGGACTTAATTCGAGCTCTACAACTTTTATAGTTTGTTAATAGAAAAAGTAAGTAAGTTATAATAAAAATGATTCAAGATGTTTACAGTGATTGGTTAATTGCCGTAAGTACATCTTCCAAATAATCATAATTTGATTAAAAATATCGTTATTGTAACCATCAAGAACAAAATCTCTAGTTACAAATTAACCAAAAAACTAGTTTTGACTCTTATCGTTATCTAGCTTATTTGATAAATAAAAACCGATCAACTTATATTAAAATATTTAGAGTCGGACTTCTCTAAATCTTCTAAGTCTTCATAAAAACTCCTATAGAGGATTCATCATATCGGGAACATATGATGTATATAATTCTCTATTCTCTACAACATTCCAACACTGCTAAATCTTATTCAAGAGCACTAACTCAACAAACATACTCAAGCCCTGAATAAGCAATGTATTTTTTCAAAAGATGGTACGTCTTCAAGATTTATTATCTCATACCACTTGGAGCCCTTATACAGCCAAAAACGTTTATTTTCTTCAAGGCTATCCAATAATCGAGTTTGCATGTATCTAGCGAGCAAAGAAATCGTGGGTAACTTAAAGTTTAATAGTAATAAATGATAAACCAGTTCAAGATAGAAAATATATTACTCCAGCGGATAGGTTAGTTCTATCAAATGCATGCCCTTTAATCCCTCATGATATTCTTATTAAATTTTAAGAAAATCTAATCTAATAAATGTAAAAATCCAACGACACAACTTATCAGTCACCCACACCTTCATCTATTTCAACATTGATAAACACTATTTCACAAATAAACACCACAGAAAAACTTCCCAATCAGCCAACTATATTAATTACAAACAGTACAAATCTTGAATATGTCGAATCAAAAGAATCCTCTCACCAATATAATTACACCTGCAACAAAGCGCTACATCTCCTGATAGTACTCATTAGACAAGCCGTAAACGTGACATTGATGAAATTCTGACACCCTCACCATCAAGTTTACCAGTTCCGTCAGAAAAAGACAAATATACAAATACAATAAATTTCGCAAAACCAACACAACAAAAACCTTATAAGAAAACCCCAAGAAAACCTCAGCTAGTAATTTAACGAAATAAAATTAATAAAAAATCACCATCATTTATTCTTAACCACGACCAATTTATAGATTTGTTAGAAAATGCTCAAGGTTCTTTAAATATTATCGCCACTATAACAAATTACACAAATGATTTTACTGGACTACTATTAATGATTACCAACTTATATACTCACACAACAAATAGATCATTTGGTACATAAAATGTACCAAACTTAGAAAAAAATCACAAAATACCTGTATCTCGAACTCACTTCTACCGACAACGAAAGTGATGTTTTACATGACACAGACCAAGAATCTCAATAAAACTAGAACCATTCTACAAACTAGAAATTAAACATGGCGTCGTTTAAATCAATTTTTAATTGAATATAAAAGAATACCATAATAATTTACCGATGTTAAAAATTCTACAGTCAGAGTATTCACCAGATATCATTTGTCTTCAAGAAACGAATTTTAAGGACAACCAAGAATCTTGTGTGTCCAATTATCAAAGTTTAAAAAAAGGAGTAAACCAAAGATGTGGTGGTGTGACAATTCTTGTAAAATACAATTTAACTGCAAATTGACTAACTCGGAAAACACATTTAGAAGCTGTAACCATTTCTCTAAAAGGGACCACAAAAATAAATATTTGTTCGATTTACTTACCCGCAAGACAACAAATTGATAGACTGGATTTTTTTAACCTCGTGAAACAAATAGGTACCTTCTCCTTCTCCTTCCACGAATTTTAGCAGGTGGCTTTAATGCGTATAACATTACTTGAGGTTCTACATATGATGATAAAAGAGAACTAAATGAATGATGAATTAATAAAGAATTATTAGATCAGTATAACTTATCCTATTGAATGATGGGCGCCCTACAAGATTCAATATATCTTCTTCTTCTTCTTCATGTACCATGTCCTTTCAGAACGTTGGTTACCATCATAGCTATTTTAATTTTATTCACTGCCACCCTAAATAGCATGCTTGTATCTAGACCATACCAATCTCGCAAGTTCTTCAACCATGAGGTTCTTCTTCGTCCTGGACTGCGTTTGCCTGCTATTTTTCCTTGTATGATATTTTGTAGCAATCTATATTTGGGACCTCTCATTACATGTCCGAAATATTCCAGCTTTCTCTGCTTGATGCTTTTTATGGTCTCAGTAGTCTTGCTGAGACGTTCTAGTACTGTGGAGTTACGAATCTTCTCCACCCAGGAAACTTTTAAAATTCTTCTATAGCACCACATTTCGAAAGTCTCAAGGCGATTTAGATCGATTTTATTCACAGTCCAGGACTCGACAGCATAAAGTAAGACCGAGAACACGTAGCAGCGAAGTAGGCGGATCCTTAATGCCAATTTTAGGTCTCTGTTACATAACACCTTGGACATCCTTCTAAAAGCAGCTCTAGCCTGCTCTATTCTGGATCTAATTTCGCCGTGATTTTCTGCATTACAATTTAATTGCTGTCCAAGGTAGACGATTTTATCAACTTGCTCAAGTTTGGTATTATTTACATATACAGACGGTTTTATATTCTGTTGTTTACTTATTACGAGTATTTTGGTTTTCCTTATGTTAAGATCCAGACCTGCCTCCCTACAACTCTCAACGACATTATCAAGTAGTCTTTGCAGATCTTCTTGACTAGAAGCTAGGAGTACTGTATCGTCCGCATATCGCAAATTATTGATGACTTCGCCGTTCACAAGTATTCCTTCTTGTTTTTCAATATATACACAGGCAAATCAACACTATTAGAGTTAACGATAGCGGATAATAACTTTTCTGCATTAATGCCATGAGACAGATTAGACTTATAACAGTGACATCATCCAATAGTAATAACAAATAACATGTTATAACCCAAAAATGAAAACACACCGCTAAATGGAAAACTATTAAAGCAAAGTCGACACTCTTTAAAAATATTATAGAGCGTGTCAAACACTGTAAAATATCCAACAATGTTGATACATACAAAGAAGCTTTCTTTAATATAATTTTAGATGCAGTCGAGGTAAGTATCAACAAAACTTCCTTTATTACAAAACATAAACCAGTTCCTTGGTGAAATGAACAATGTAGGGCATCGTCTGAAGCTTCCAAAAAAGCTTTTTACAAATACAAAAGATATAAAACCGACAAAAAAAATTCGTGGTCACTATTTGTATCCAGTATAAACAACTGGGTGTCGGTCAGATAGCTCAGCGGGCTGTGCAACTGCCTCTCATTCGCTTCACTGTCGAATAGTTCAGTGGATGTGGGATCGAGCCCCAGCTCGGTGTACAGAAAACAAAAAGTCTAACGCAGCAGTTTAAAATTCTAGATGAATCTGCGGCTTATACTAGAATATGCTGGGATCTGATCGGCCTATGGTGGAGCAGTACGGCAAGAGATAAGGGCTTGCGGCTCGGTGATACTCCTCCATAGATCCCTACCGGACAAGCGTAACGCCTAAAAAACCGGATATATATATATATATATATATATATATATATATATATATAAACAACAGGACCCTTATGTCTGAAATGTGGAAGAATGTCAAAAAATATCTGGAATACCGCCTTTTAACATTTAACAAAATTACTCAACTCAAGAAAGATACGATTAATAGAGTAATCACAGATGACCTAGAAATAGCAAAAAAATTTACAAATACGTATAAAAATAGATCTAATACATGTAATTATAACATAAATTTTATCAATTTTAAACAGAACGAAGAAAGCAATGTAATTATACCCTTTGTATATGATAGAGATGCTTTAAACTGCAAATTTAATATATAGATATGAATACACAGATGCATTAAACACATTTAAAGAGACTAGTGCGATCCAGATAATATCGCAATGGTCTGTTTTAAGCATTTACCTAAGAACACACAAAATCATGTATTTAATATATTTAATACTATTTGGAAAGAACAGAAATTTCCAACAGCATAGAGAGAATCTATTACAATACCAATATTAAAACCAACTCGTTCTAATTGCAGGCAGCTTTGATCAGGCACAGGTTAATGAAAAAAAGAGTTGGTCATAAAATAAATTTTTCAAAAACACAATGTATGACAAATTTAGTCCACAACAAAAACATGTCGGTAGAAGACAAATATATTAAGCCAGTTGACTTTATAAATACTTGGGCCATAAGATCAGAATAAGTCAAGACAACCAAACAATTGAGCTGAAAAGAAGAATTAACTTCGCTTGGGCTGCATTTTTAAAGATGAAGGATATTTAAAGGTCTAAGATTCCAATGTGTCTGAAAAGAAAAGTAATTAATCAGTGTATTTTGCCAGTGATGACCTACGGCGCAGAAACACTAACACTCACAACTCACAAGAACAACAGTGAGTACACTACAAGTTGCGCAAAGGGCAATGGAGAGAATAACGTTAGGGATTTCTCTACGTGATAGAATACCCAATGCTACTATACGCAAAAGATCAGGAGTAGCAGACGTTATTGAAAGGATAACAACACTATAGTGGAACTGGGCAGGTCATGTAGCAAGATTAGTTGATGACCGGTGGACAAAAAGAATTTTGGAATGAAGACCCCGAATACAAGCTAACAGAAATAGATAATAGATAAAAAGAGTGACTACAAATTGGATTCAGATGGCGCAAAATCGGACTAAGTGGAAAAGCATGCGAGAGGCCTATGTTCAGCAGTGGAGGTTAGAGGCTAGTTGATGATGATGATGATGTGGTGATTATGCGAAATGAATCTAGATATGCTCTTCTTCAAG